TCTATCCAACTATCTATCTATCTAAATACCTATCCATCGACCTATCTATCTATCTGTTATCTATCTATCTATATATCTATATATCTATCTATCTATCTATCTATCTATCTATCTATCTATCTCGCTCTCTTTCTCTTCCCCTCTCTTGAAGGGGTCAGCCTGAAATACTGGCGCCGCTGTTGCTGATGGCGGCAGATCCGACTCTCGCACTGATCTGGGCCCAGAGCTACTTTTGAAACGCGCGCACAAGCAATCTCCCAACAATTCCCGACGCTGCAGCACTATGCCGCATAGAGGGTGAAGGGTTCTGTTGTGTGATGACAAATTCGGGTACGAGAAATGGCTAGGTAGTGTTTGTTCCAGCAGATGCCAACACACCATCCCCTGCTGCCTAGGAACTGCCGCGCGAAGGATGGGCGCTGCCCTCTGGACCGTGTTCCGAAAGGCCCTGATGGAGATCTCGCCCGGTCGTTGCTGATGATGGCGGGTGGAGAGGATCCTGTGGCCCAGTCTTGCGGGTGGAACCAAAGGTTCCAGGGCCACCAGTCGAAAGATAGGATGCCGTTGGCAGACTTTTCGCAGGCTGCAGGAGGCAGGCATAGTATTGTAACGAAAGAACAAGATGAAGTCGGTCGAGCTCGGTATGGGGTACCGTGAAGATTCAGATCCAAGACGTAGGCGTGAGCTGTGCCTCCCTTAGCTGAAGCAGTCATCGAAATTTTTCTGCAATTCCTGAACCTTGAATGCTGTGCTTGTTCAGAATTGGTGAACCTTCCAGCAGTTTTCGCATCATCGGTATCGTAGGACAGCGTGCCACAGACGGAAATCATGCAGCTTGGCTGGCAATTCAGAAGACGTTCAGCATTTGGCCGCCGGACGGACGGCTAAACCAGAACAGCCTGGTTTCAGGCCTCCAGGATGCCGGTAAATCTTCACCCACCATGTTTGCCAGGAGGGTGGTGGAGGTGGTGCCCGAACCCTGGAGGTGCGCACTTCTTGATCCTTCTTGTTGGTTGTGTGTGTGTCTGTGTGTGTGTGTGTCATTGTTGTTGTCTTTGCGACCGGGTCTGTTAAGTATCTTCCCAAGCCAGCGAGGGCTCTTGCCTACACCACCCCAGGTAGTACAGCTTTGTTTGCTGTCTTTCAGTCCCCACGCATGCAAGGGATGGCACAGCTCTCTAGCAAGTAGTAGTAGTCGTCGTCGTGTAGCGGCGGCTAAAAAACAGTCATACTAGTCATAGTACAAGAATTTTTGATACAATATGAATAATTATTTGCCATTTTGACGACCAATCGGCCGTATGCACAACAGTTTCTGTAGCCGCATCAACACTGATAACTGTAATAATCGTAGTAACGCACAATGGGAAAATAGCACTGGTAGTGCTAATGGTTGCGTTGGCAGCAATACTTCTAGTAATGATACCATTAGTATTACTATTGTCAACGATCAACATAGTAATGGTAATACTTAAAACTTATAGCAGTAATGGAACATGGCCATGATCATGATCATCATAAGTAAAATTCGAATGGGGCCAGTGGTAGTAACAGAAATAGTAACAGCAATAACGGTGATACAGTGATAGCGCCGACAAGCGTAATTATGACAGTAAGTGCCAAGAAGCAGACTAAGCCGAAGTGGTGGTCTTGTTATGTTTATTGGGCTAATCGTTAAGCCCTGAACCCAAGAAAGTTTTCGTCCAAACACGCCCTCAAAAAGAGACTCAACATCTCGAGAGTCCATACCCACAACAACCACCTACCTATGAGCACCGTAGCAAGAGAGTGAGGCTCCAGACGCTAACAAATCCTAAGCCCAAGACCTCAAGGCTTAGAAACTACACCCTGGGCCCCGGAGCTTGGCTTGTCCGGGCTGTAACAGCGTAAACCTTGAGCCGGAGGCGGCAGCTCTGCAGCCGCCTCGGTCTTGCGACGGCCCCGGACCTTTGGATTGCGCCGGTTGCAGAAGGCGGGACTTCTTAGGACTTCTGCCGGTGAGCCCGTAACTGCAACCCAGCTGGCCAACAGAAGTTGAGCAGAAGTGGTAGTAGCAGCAGCAGCAGTAGCACCAGCAGAAGTTGTAGGAGGAGGAGTTAGGAGGAGGAGGAGGAGGAGGAGGAGGAGGGAGTAGTAGTAGTAGTAGTAGTAGTAGTAGTAGTAGTAGTAGCGGTAGTAGCGGTAGTAGTAGCAGTAGAAGTAGCAGTAGCAGTAGGAGGAGTAGTAGTAGTGGTCGTGGTGGTGGTGGTGGTGGTGGTGGTGCTGGCGGTGGTCGTGGTGCTTGTGGCAGTGGTGGTGGTGGTGCTGGTTGGTAGTGGTAGTAGTAGTGGTGGTGTAGCAGCAGCGGTGCGAAGAACGATACTTGGACCACAGCCGCGACACCATCTGTTAGTCATGTGGTCCATGCCGAAGTCAGCAAGTCGGCCAGGGCGCCTCGCGAAGTCTGCGCAGGTCCTCTTTGCGCTGAGCTTAGATGAGGCCAGTTGCTTGTGGCCGGTATTGGCGTGTGAGGTGCACCTACGAAAAACTGAAACGACCAGACTGTCGACGGTCCATCGCCTGGAGAGTCTGAGTAATTCTTTTCTGCAAGCTCTCCCCGACTCCGCCAGCTCCAGGAGGCAGCCACCGCCCCGGGCGCAGCGGAGGCGCTGGCAGCGCTGCGGAGGGGTGTCCGGAGGCCACAGGAGGCCGTCTGAGCGCACGTAATGGTTGTCACATCATCCCCAAGAGCCGATGCAAACAACGCGGGTGTCTGCTGTTGAAGCCGGTGATCTCAATGAGCATCACAAAGACCATGAAGGCGAAGGTTTCACTGTTGTTGTTCGTTGTTGTCGATGATGGTAATAGCTGATATCTATGATACTTTGATGAGGGCAGTGTGACAACTCCATGAATGGCTTCAGGGATGGAAAAACTGCTGTGTTTGGCGTTTTTGTTGTTTTGCAAGGGCTTTTAGCTATTCGACAGGAGCGTCGTCAGCTGCTGCGGCGGCTTCTTCGCGGGTGGCACCCGGACAAGTTCCAGACCGCGAGCAAAGAGCCGCAGCTACCGGCAGTGAAGTCCACACTTCCCGAAGTTGCTAAAGTCACGTGGCAGGTCTCGGTTCGCCGTCCGGGAAACGTGTACCGCCCTGTCGTAACTTGTAACAACTCGAGAAAAAACGACAGGAGAAGCAGGACAACGCCAACACAGTCTTCTGCTTCATCCAGCGCTTTCGCAGCATCTTCTTGGGCGAGGAGCCTTGTTGGGTGGGGCTTTCCAAGTTGTTCGGCACAGAGACACACAACCGCTGGCTGTGAGATGCCTCTGACAACCTGGCACCTGGAAGGAGGCATGATTTGCGCCGGACGAGCAGAAGTCGCATTCAGCCCGAACGGACCAGCATGTTTCAGCGAGAAGCATGAGACGGCAGGACCTCGATGCCCCATGGCTGCAAGCCGTGAAAGGGTTCTTCATCCCGTATGGGCCATGTTTGCGGCAGGGTGTGCTCTTAGAGTCGGTGGCTGACATCTGCAAATTCCAAGCTGAGGCCGAAGACGGACAAGGACATGGATGGAACGCCGCGACTTCGTGGACACGGGGTCCTGACCCGAATGCCTGCTCCCAACGTAGGTCTCGTCTTAAAGTCTATCGACGGCGGAGGACACTGCACCTGTCGAAGAGCTGGGAAAGAGACAAGTGACCTCCCTTATCCGCCCTTCCTCAGCCAGAAACCTGCGTTTGTTTGTTCTTCAAAGTTATGCACCACATGTCATGACGCAGACATGATTGTTCTCCAATGATCTGTGTGGTGTCTCGATGCTCCAGCGATCTCAGAACTGCCAGAGACAATTCTCGAGTTCTCCCGGCTGGATGCATCTCAGAAATCCAGAAATGCCATGCCTCTTAGTCAACTTGGTCTAACAGGAACCTCATTGCTTTTCCTAGTTCACCGTCTCACGATGCCCCGTCTACAGTACCCTGTTGAAACATCCGTTCAGCAATCCTTCGGAGAGCGGGCGATGGGGACCTGTCCGTGTTACAGCTTTGTCGGCGGGGCATGGGGGGCCGAGGGCAAGGAGACAAAGGAAGAAGACGGTGTGGAGTATGCCTCAGATGATGCCATGGACTTGGCACAGTTTCTCATCAGTGCCGACATCCGGCTGGTCCGAGCGGAGTTTTTGTGGAGCCTGTGCGAAGCCCAGGCAAGCATTCCAAGAAGACAGGAAGCAGAAGACGAATCTTTTGAGACGCCACAGGGAAAGCAAACGGCCTTGGTCAGGCATGATGAGGTGTCGAGCTGGGCAGCAGGACGCTGCCCTGCTTTGATTTGCTCAATTTCCCATTGCTGGGAGGCTAGGGAGCATTCAGATCCTTGTGGCCACCAGCTGCAGATCATATGCGATTGCACCAGGCTATATGCAGCGGCCTATGATGCACCTGTATGGTTATTCCTTGATCAGACATCCTTATTTCAGTTCAGACGAACTCCGGAGCAAGACAAGACTTTCAAGCTTGCCATGAGCCACATGCATCTCTTGTATTGCCATGAGTACACCATGACTCTGCGGGTGCATAGCATTAGCTCCGATGAGCTGTGGGAGCAGCGCGTCAAGGAGGGGCATCTGGTGACGGTTTACCACGAAGAAAGTGGGGCAGTCAGAGCGTTGCCGTTGAAGGACCTCACCAGAAATCAAAGCGAATACCTGGAGCGAGGCTGGTGCCAGGCGGAGTACGAGTGGTCTGGCACCCGAGGGCAGAGTGCCCGCAACCAGAGGATTGATGTGACTGATGAAGAGTTTGCCTTCGTGACATTGAGATGCAAAGTTCCGATGAGGCCAGAGGAGTTCAGGAAGCGGGTCTCAGGGCTAAAGTTTACGCACAGGTCGGATGCTGAGCCGGTGTATCAGCTCCAAGAGAAGGTATTCATGGAGAAGATAACAAAATGCAAGCATTTGAGATTAGAGTTTTTGGACTATGATGCTACTGCGGAATTGGTGGAGATTTTGTCATGCTACACATCTCTGGAAAAAATCGCTCTTTTGAATTTCAAGAGTACGGACTCAGTGTTGAAGGAGCTCCTGGGATGCCTGAAGCTCATGCTGACAAACAATACCCTTGAAGATTTGCAAATGGAGGTGATATTGGAAGAACCAAGGACAGACGAGGACCTGCCAGACCGTCTGATCCAGTGGCAAGGATATATGATTTTGGACGCAGTTGCCGGAACACTGGCCAAGAATTTCAGCCTGAAATCGTTCCGCTTCCGCTATAACAGCACACCGAATGCGGCAGATTTGGCACATTTCGCGGTATCCATGCGCAAGAACACCACTCTGGTGAATGTAGACGTCATTCGGCCATTTGACGAGCTATCGATACGAGAAGAAGACAGGGCTGCTTTGCCAAGGCTTCTGGAAGACGTGGACAGCAGTTATTCATTTCGCGGAGTTTCGCTTTTTGAAGACTTCAATCATTGCGATCCTTGGGTTGGGCCTGTCCTCATGATTCGGAAGGTTGCCGAACAGAATGCCGCACGGCTGAGCCAAAGTATGCAGCTGGAGGAGCAGATTTCGACGAGGCGGCCCATTTGGCCACCGGTGAAATGTGAGGCATTGGCAAAGCTTTTGAAGGAGAAGTCAGCAGTGACCCGGTTATTCTTCAACAACGCAAATGTGGATGATATGATGGCCGAAGCTTTGGCGCGAGCCCTCAAGCAGAACAAAACAGTGACAGAGATTGGGCTGATGGGAAACCAAATCGGGCACACTGGAGCGGAGGCTTTCGCAGGAGTTTTGAAAGAAAACAAAACACTTAGAAGGCTGAATTTGAGCCGCAATCAAGTTGGTGTTACAGGCGCGCAGGCTCTGGCAGAAGCTCTCAAGAAGAATAGCACCGTGAAGTCAATCGATTTGGATCGCAATCAGATTGGGGATGCTGGAGCAGAAGCTCTCTCAGAAGCCCTCATGGTGAACAAGACCGTGACACGGATTGGCTTGTCTGAGAATCAGATCACTGATGCCGGAGCAGAAGCTTTTGCAGAAACATTCAAAATGAACGAAACAGTGACAGATATCTGTTTGGTTGGCAATCAGATCGGGGATGCTGGAGAGCAGGCGCTCACACAAGCATTGCAGGAGAACAAGTACGCATACTGCCAAATTGAATGGTTCAGATATCTTACGCCAAGTGGGCCGGCCAGTTGGATGTTAGGCAGGTATAGCAGGTGAGGTCTCACAACCGGTTGCGCCGTCCGGGCGCAACACAGCGGCTTCTTTTGTCGCGTAGATTCCTAAGATGCTGAAATTTCTGGAAAAGCTACGATAGCGGCCAGATGCAGGGATAACTGGCTACGCCTGTCTTTTCTTCCCACGTTCAAGTGATTGACCATATCTGTGTGTGGAGTGCAAACTCAATTAATCAGCGCTCTAGAACGACATCTCACAACCCTCACTAGTCACTAGTCGCTGGTTTAGTGCTGTGGGTTCTCCTCTGCACCCTGCTAGTCGTAATCCCTCAATGCTTACATGCGCCTGGGTGTAAGAGACTAAGATCAAGATGAAGGGGCAACTCGCTTTGGCGTAGTTGCGTTGGGCCATCCGCACATGACTGGTTTTCGCTGCATCGGGTCCCAACCGCCCGACGGCCTGCCGAGGACATACAACAGATCTCCGAGGTGCACCGGGAGGTTTGTGTTGATGAGCGGAAGTCCCCAACACCTGTCATCGAATCGCCACCGCGACGACTACCACAGCGACGATGCGCCGACGACGGCTGCTAGTGACTAGTGCTAGTAGTGCTAGCTCACCAGTACTTGTACCAGTACCAGTGCCAGTGCCACACCACTACCACCACCACCACCACCACGACGGCGACGAATGCCACGCGACTGCCACTACTGCTACTGCTCTTCTGCTACTGCTACTTCTACTACTTCTGCTACTACTGCTGGTGCTGCTGCTGCTGCTGCTGCTACTACTACTACTACTACTACTGCCACGACTATCACGACGACTACCACTACTACGACGACTACGACTACGACCACGACTACGACGACTACGACTACGACTACGACTGCAACTGCGACTGCTGCTACTACCACTACTACTACTGCTACTACTGCTGCTACTACTACTACTACTACTACTAGTATTGCTGCTACCACTACTACTACTACTACTACTGCTGCTACTACTACTACTACTACTACTACCATTATTATTAGTACTACTACTCCTACTACTACTACTACCATTATTATTAGTACTACTACTCCTACTACTACTACTGCTACTACTACTACTACCATTTATTATTTGTACTACTACTCCTACTACTACTACTGCAACTACTACTACTACTACTACTACTACTACTACTACTACTGCTACTACTGTTACTACTACCACCACTACTATTACCACTACCACTACCACGACCACGACCACGACCACGACCACGACCACGACCACGACCACGACCACGACCACGACCGCGACCGCGACCGCGACCGCGACTGCTACTGCTACTGCTACTGCTACTGCCACTGCTACTGCTACTGCTACTGCTACTGCTACTACGACTACTACTGCTACTACTGCTGCTGCTGCTGCTGCTACTGCTGCTACTGCTACTGTTACTCACATGAGCAGGCATTTCGCCGCTTTGACAAGGACGGTTCTGGTCAGGATCTTACACTGCTTTGGAGCATCTTCATGATATTAGATGATCTGCGTCTGCTCGTTGGGTCGCTGTGACTGCCACAGGTTTCCTAGATGCTATGGAGTGCCGACATATGTGCGCCTACCTCGGGATGCGGCCTCAGCAAGGTTTGCGGCAGAAGGCACATCTGTGCATTGCCATCTGCGTCCGCCACCCTGCACAACTGCAAGCCTCGGCTGCGCATGACGCAGCGATCGATTCTCGGCCCTTGTGCCTGCAGGGTGTCAACAGTTTGGCAATACTCTCGAATGCAGCATTGCTTGCAAGTCATAGTTCTCAGACATACCCCGATGTGAACAAGGTGGGGGTCCGAGGGCTGGAACCTGTTCATGAACAAAGACGAGGCTGGTGGCTTCCACAGAAATGTCGGTACCGATCTTCAACTATGGACTGTAGTTGGGTGGCCACGCTCAAGCGGCGGCTGTGGGATCTGGTGAGTGCAGGTAGGTGGATAGAGGCTGTAAGCCACGGATGGGTTGACAGGTTTTTCTTCCCGCGTTGACGGCTCAGCAGGGGGGGAGCATGGCCCAACAGACTACCCTGCGCGAGGCATAAGGTTCTATCCATAATCGTTGGACGTCAGCTACGGCTGAAGTTGCAGGACTCTGGAGGAGGAATCCGGATGTGTACTAAGTTGGGGTCTCTGCATCAAAGCATTGAGTTGGCCTGTTGCTCAAGACGCAGCCATGGCCTTCTTCGCCGGCCGTCTGCGACCACGACTCGCAAGCGGTGTGCTGGCAGGCACGGAACTGGCATAGTTTTGTACAGGTATATGGTATACTAGGTATACAGGTAACAGGTACATCATCACATGTTCTGACATGCCTGTTGAACGTGGAGTGTTGCTCCTGCTGCAGCCCATCGGCATGCCTAGGAAGCTGTGCTGCGCTGTGCGGCCAGCAGTGGCACTCGAAAGGACTTCCGATTCCCGATCATGACTTGTGAACGTGAGGAAACTCGCAGAAGCTTGCTGTTCTCTGCATGCTGGATCCAGTTCTCCCGAAAACGGTAACCGGCTCCCTTCAGCCTTAATGTCTGTCGTGCTCGCATCTTTCGTGGCATGCATGTCCACGTGGGTGTCCGCAGCCTCAGGATCTCGTTGCGAGGTGCCAGCTCTGACGCGCATCTCCTACACATCGACGATGCAGCCCGGAAGAAAGTACCGGATGATCTATGTAGTTCGGGCAGTTCCCGGCATCTTCATTCTCTCTCTCACTCTCTCTCGCCCTCTCGCTCTCACTCTCTCTCTCTCTCTCTCTCTCTCACTCTCACTCACTCACTCCCTCGCTCGCTCCTCTCACTCTCTCACTGTCTCCGGGTTGGAGAACTTGGAGAGCCCAAGGCGGGGAGACGCTAACAAGGCCTCGAAGCAGATCGAGGACATCGTTGCCAAGCTGGGCCCCCGGTATGCTCTGGGGCCGGGGTATTACATGCTTTCAGGCTTCTCGCGCGGTGCCCGGGGTACGGATGTAAGTACCCGGAGAGTTCTCTTGTGCTCTCCTCTAAAATGTTGGCCCACAGGCTCCAAATACCTTGCCTGGAGACCATGTGTCCAACAACTTCATCACCACCACGTCCTTTCAGGTCCGTGAAGAGCAACCTGTCCTGCCAAGTCTCCGGCCACATGTGCTGCTTGGCTTGACTGGGGGGCGACGGGGCATGGTGGATCGGAATCGCGTGCAAGACTCAAGTGTGATATGATCTCGGGTTGGAGGGGTTTCATGGAGAATTCCGTTTGAAGTGATAGCGGTGTGGAGCTTAGAGACAAAAGCTTCGAGATCCCGAACGACATGGGTGACCTAGAGCTACCGGCTTGAAGATCAGGCCAAAAGATGCAAAAGCCACGGCATGTCCATCGTCTCTGCAAGGTCAGCAGCCGTAGGTTTCACCAATGCGTGTGCAGTGAGCTCCTTGCGAGCCGCCTCCGTAAGGTTATGACGCGAAGTTGAAGCACGTGTGGCAGGCCCGCGGCTTTGGATTTCACTTTGCCTCCACGCCGTTTCCCGTCTCGGGGGCCTTTCCTGTGACCGATTCCGTTAAAGAGGCGCAGGGCACTTCCACCTGCCTTCGAAGCTGCAGTTCTCAAAAACAAGCTGTCCTCCAGAAGGGAGTCGTCGCCAGTTCCATGTTGTGCATGCGATTTGTGCCTTGAAAGCAGAAGCGGAGTGTAGGGCAGTTGGTGTCGTGTTATGAAGTATTACAGTATGAAGTGCTAGGACTCGCATCTTCTCGATTCGTCGCCCATGCTCGAACCGTCAACGTGCGCCAGAAACACAGACACCACAGCCGTAGGTGTTGGAGGGAAGCCCAGAGGTTGCGTGGCTGGAGTAAGTACGTAGAGCAGTGCTTGTCTCACTTCGGTGTTGGACATGGCGTGCATTCAGGGCTTCAGTGCTTTTGCTTTGGTGTGTCTTTTGATAACTAAGTCAAGTCGTCATGCCCAGCATGAAGGTTCGGTCTCTGCCTAGATGCTTTTGGTGCTACGCGCTCTCGAACTGAGCCACGCTTTTTCCCAGCGCTCCCCTGGGCATCATGACCTAACTGAGGTGGTTGAGCGGCTGTGGACGTCTATCTGCCAGGAGCGGAAGTTTCATGTGCAGGTTATCGTTTAGATGGCATCTGGCATCGTGCCATGCACGACAGTCTTGCCTCAAAGGATCAAAGGCATGTGGTGGACGAGGACACCGTGACGATGGAGAAAGCCTCTTGGATTATGTCCGTGGTCCGATCTCTCAGGGCCCTGAGCAAACAAATCCCTTAGCCTTTAGCCCAAGCTGCGAAAAAGGGTTACTAGGCCCTAAAAGAGGCAAATGCAAGACACACATCGCTAAGAAGCTCTACAGGGGAAGGATATATGTTCCACCAGGACCTCTGACTAGTCTAAGTCTAGTCTAAGTCTACATCTCCGAGCCCGAGAGCTAAAAACAGTATACATATCCTTAGACCCTATAGTCAACGGTAACTTGTGTGACGGGACTATGTGGAGCCTTGCCTGCCTGCTGCGAGTGTGAGAGTCGAAACCCCAAAGCCTAATGGTTTTTCTCTACCAGGTTGGCTCTCGGAACTTCCCTGTTGGGTGGGGCATGCGCTGCTCGAGCTTCGGCCAAGGCGCTTGGCCTAATATGGGAGCCTAAGTTACGAGTTGCCAATATTACTCTTCAGGGCTGCTTGTGATGATGACTGTTATTCTTAGGGTTATCTTCAATACGTTGTCATCTACTCCAAAATCCCATTCTAATTAAAAGGCGACTCAATGTTCTTGCCCAGACTCAGAGCTCTAAATCCTCTAGTTTAGGGGGCCTTGGTGATTAGGGTGGGGGTTTGGGGTAGATTTAGTATAAGAGCATATGGACTATAAGAGGATAGTTTGACTAAGTGTTCAGGCTCCTGCAATAGTTCAAGTTCACGACTGTCAGCTTTCGCTACAATCCATGGATGTGCGCACAAACGTGCATGCATGCATGCACGCCCAGACAGGCACCAGAGAGAGTCTGTCCTTTTGTGT